TTTTGCCGGACAAAAAAAAAAACCAAAAAAAAAAAAAAAAAAAAAGAAAAATAACAAACTTTTAACAAAAAAGTGACAGTGATTTTATAAACCCCATTTTATCCTGCAAAATGCTAACTGAATTCAGATTTTCTTCTCCCATGTATTAAATTCAACCCTTTGCTCTGTGCCTAGCGAACTGCTCAATGGACATAAGTACTTATAGTAAATCTTGTATGCTTTCAGCATCAAAAAAGTACCAAGTAGAATCAGCCTCCAGAATATACTTGGGATTCTCATAAGTTACATTACCAAAGTGAGTTACTATCACTGATTTGAAACTATGCCATTAAGATTATAGAGTAAAAACTTAAGTGAAAACATCTGATGATTAAGTTTACTTTAGGAAGACTTGATAACAGAATTGATGTTATAAAATTATTTATTGTTACTAAGATTTGTACTATATAATACTTCTTGATTTTTACCAACTATATATTTTTTGTTTTAAAAAATTTTCTAATTCAGATAGAACAAAGCTCCCGTATTCCCCTTTAAATTTTAAAAGACTTATATTTTGGATGTAAATATACTTACTGATTTAAGAAAACCAAGGCCAAGCATCTCTTTTACATACCTCTTTTTAACCTATATACTGCTAAAATTTTTTCAGATTCCTAAGTTTAAGGAAGTGGATGCTAAGCAAACAAATGTAATGCCTGGAATGCTTCCTTGTAAACAGACTAGAATACCATCTAGTAACCTTTGGGATGAGCTACCTTCTAATTTAAGCTTTTATTTTAATTATTTATGGAAAGTGACTATGCTCTTTTTATGTTACAATTAATACACAAAATTTTTAATGCATCCCAGAAATAGTTATAAATCTGAGAATAGAGATTCTTTTCTAGGGACACAGGCCCAAAGATTAGGCATTCTGAAATCAGTTTTAAGTTTCTCAAGATGTAGCATAGCTGCTATCTAAATCACACCAGACTATGATATCTAAAATTTCAGGATTATTATAAAGAGAACTGTTGGGAGAATAAATAACACATTAGTACTATTACCTTTTAGCCGGTGACTTAGAATCTGTTCCAAAATAGCTGCAAAATTGTTAAATTCAGGAGAAGAATCATCAATTGTCTCAAAGCAAGACTGATCAATCAGGGTCTTCACAGAAAACCTATGAAAAAAAGATTATTGTTGCTTTTAGGCAGAGTTGATTCATTCACCTAAGTATGAAAAAATGGGAGGAAGGAAATTTGGGGAAGAATTACGGAAATATTTTATAAGATTATATATTCTGAAAACCCCATTTATTCAAATTCACTCTGTAAACAGAAAATTGTACAGAAATATCAGTAAATATATATATTTGCTATCTGTTAAAATCTGAATGCCTGTGTCCTCCCAAAATTCATGTTGATATCTAATCCCCAATGCAATAGCATTAAGAAGTGTGGCCATTGGGAGGTGATTAGGGCAGGAGGGTAGAAGACTCGTGAATGGGATTGCCCTTATAAAAGTGGCCCAAGGAAACTGTTTGCCCCTTTCACCATGTATTGACACACAGAAGGTGCCATCTGTGAGGAACAGACCCTCACCAACCACTGAACCTGCTGGAGCCTTGATCCTTGACTTCCCAGCCTCCAGAACTGGGAGCAATAAATTTCTGTTGTTTATAAGTTACCCAGTCTAAGGTATTTTGTTACAGCAGTCTAAAAGAACTAAGACACTATCTATTCACCAAACTAAGCCTTAGGATTGCTACTGTCCTCACAGCCATTAATATCAGTATCAAAATATGACTTAAATTATTGACTCCAAGATACTCAAAAGCCATAATACTACTTGTCAGAAATTTGAACTTTTGCAAATATTTTAAGAGTTATGATCATAAAATAGAATAAAAAGGATGTGAGCATTCACGAAGTGTAGAGTCAAAGTTTCTATGAGCTATATAAATAGGAAAACTTGCAAATCTGTAATGTGTGCTACATTTTTGCTTATCAAAATGTCCTTTGTCTCTATTTCTGGCTGCCAAAACTCAATGCATTTTCCAAGTCTCAGTGGAAATGCCATCTCTTCAATAAACAAGTATCCTCCTTCCCATGCCCAGCACAGACTAGCATTTTGTTTTTATCTCCTTTAAGATACAACTACGATTTATCTTATTGCTATCATTTGTGTTGTCTATCTCTACCTTATTAGACTATACATTCTTTCAGGGCAGAAATGCCTTCTGAATGTTTGTATCTTCCTCAGTACCTAGGACAATGCCTTGAACACTGTACTCAGTAAGTATTTGTTGATTTATTCATAAGTTCTCTTTGAAAGAATGGCAAAGAAACATTTAATTTCCAATTCAATGAAAAAAAAAAACCTAATGATTTTTAACATGTATAAGGGTAGTTCAAAAAGTTCATGGGAAGATTTGTATTGTCTGTTTTTATTTTTTCCACAAACTTTTAAAGTATCCTCACATAGGATCATATAACCACCATCAAAATCAGTATACAAAACAATTCTGTCACCTCAAACAATTCCCTTGTGCTATCCCTCTACAGTAATATCCTATGAAGGATGATAGATGAGTGCTGAACAGTGAAGAATGAAGAGAAGGGATAAATGACAGCTGTTAATTAGGAATGAAAACTATGAAACAGATAAAAGAGTACAAACTGTTTCTAAAGTTTTAGGCTTGACGGTTACACTATTCAATTAGGACAGAAAATACAAAATATAGCCATAAAGGAAAATACATATTTGTTTATATGGGTTATATCTACTATGATTTACCATATTAGAAATTAAACTGAGAAATTTTCTAAATATATGCAGTCCTCACTCACCACAGTGGTCCAGGACCATAAAATTGACTGCAAGTTGAAACTATGTACAACGATCTTAATCATCAATGAAAAAATTACAATTGTTCTGAGACCTTCACAAATTTTTGTCAAAATATTAGAAACTGTCTTACAGCCAGTTATAATGTACAGTGAAATGAAAAAATAGTAAGACAGATTTTTCAGTTCACTGTAATTTAAAACATTGGAAATACTGAGAAATGGTGTTTTACTTCTTTGTTAAAAACGTATCAAGAGTCTAGGGGCCAGCCCGGTGGCACACTGCTATAGTGCGCCGCTTGGGAAGCGCGGCGGCGCTCCTGCCGAGGGTTCGGATCCCACATACAGACCGGCCGCTCACTGGCTGAGCGAGGGGCGGGAGCAACACTGAGGGTTGCGATCCCGTGGCCGGTCCCGGTCCGGTACGGGCGCGACACTGAGGGTTGCGATCTGTTGCTGGTCACGAAAAAAGACAAAAAAAAAAAAAAAAAAAAAACG